CCCACATGGACGAATACGCTGCACAGAAACGGTGTGGAATCGCTGGGCACCTTCTTGATTGAACCACAAACTGAAGGCTCGGAACGTTTGCTGAAGCATATGACAGAAGAGTCTGGGGAGATGAACTTCCCCATGGCGAAGAAATTGGCCTCCATTGCAACACACTTCGGCTTTGACGGCTGGCTCATCAACATCGAGAAGCCGTTCCCAAGCGATGTGTGGAATCCAGAGGTCCTTGAAAGGTTTCTACGCCAGCTGAAGGCTGAACTAGGGGTCGATAAACGGCTCATATGGTAATAACCTCACATCCACTATCACGCATGACTGACGCATGACTCTAACCCAGGTACGATGCGCTCACCACTTCCAACAAAATATCATACCAGAACGCGCTGACCAGCTCCAACCTCAAATTTGCCGACGCGTGCGAAAACCTACTCACCAATTATTGCTGGACGGATATCCATGTTTCTGAATCAATGAAGCTCGCACAGTACGCTGGCTTTCATGGCCCTTTCGCCAAAGGCAAGAAGAAGAGTATCTACTTTGGCGTGGACGTCTGGGCACAGAACAAGTCTAGTTTTACCCACCCTCGCGTCACATATCCTGAATATGGGGGCGGTGGTACAAACACTGGAGTCGCATTGGCCAGACTCTCGGATACGGGTCAATCGGTTGGCATCTTTGCACCAGCATGGTCGTTCGAGCATTTTCCAGGCCATGAGCGGGACGTCGAACGCACCGTCTGGGAAGGTACTCCACTACCGGAGGGCATCGAGTGCACCTGCGGAGATTGCACATCGCGTCACCCACCAAACAAAGACTCTCCAATTCTACATACAGCCAAAGAGCGCGTGGCAGGTTCAGAACACTTCTTCTACACCGACTTCACCCGCGCATTCTCTCCACATGATGACGACGCAAAACACCTATTCAACAACAGCAACACACACTCACAACTAGGTTCGCAATCCATCCTCCCTCGTCCAGCAAGCCTCTTCCCCGAAGGCGAAGACGTCGCGCTCTCCCATCACATAGAACACTCTCACAACCGCAACGTCCTAGTCATCTCCTTCATCTCCCTAGTCCCACAACAGCCAACCGAAGACTTTGACGTAGAAGTCTTCCTTCCCCTCTACAAACTCGACATGCCAGCCGATGGATCCCTGCAACTCTCAATGGTACTAGACAGCTACGAGGATCCTAGACCACCGGAAATGGAGGACATGACGGTTTTTCTGTACTTCAAGTCGGGTAGAACGATGCATTATCACACGTTGCATCTATCGCGGAAGCCGATCGTGTTGCTGGATGATGTGCCGGGAGCGAGGATACAAGAGCTGGGTGTGCAGGTTAAAGGCCCGTTGAGGGGGACTGTGAAAGGGCTTGTGCGGTTGATGGGTATTAAGGAGATTTGTGTCTCGCCGGTAGCTGATTTGCCGAAGAATTCTTCTCTTAGGATAAAGGAAGTACGGGTTGAAAAGCGCGGTGAAGGGGGCGGTAAGCATGTTAGGCTGTGCTGGGAGTACGAGGATGACATGGACCCTGAGCGGTGGAAAAAGGCGGGTATGCCATGGAGTCATATCACCGGCTCTTTTGCGCACTTTACGATTCGAAGTCAAGGGCTGTTGGAGGCGAGAGCGTATGCGCTGGAGCATGTTATCAACGATAAGTTTGTGGAACGGTATGCTGGCCGAGAGATCGAGTTTGAAATTTTGGGAATTGGATTCGATGGGCGTACACTCGCGGAGACTAAAGTCACGTTGGAGCTGTAACGTGGTTGAATCCACTTCCTTCCACGGTACTGCGGTGACGCAGAGCAGACGAACCACTCACGATAGGGTGGGTGGTGGATGTCATCACAATGCTAACTTTTAGTTTATTGGGAGTTAGGGTGGTGGGTTACAAAGCTACCCAACGCGTTGGTTGATGTCAATTTCATTCACATCTTCCCATGGTACTGTCGCGACGCGGAGCAGACCAACCACTTACGACTTCTGAAATTCACATGACACCTGCTGAAAATCAGGAATCCGGTTCAGACGCGCCAACCTAGCACGAAGGCCGAGGTAGCGCACTAGAGGTATATAAACCTCTGTTCGCTACCCTCCCCTCTCGACCCCAAAACTCCTCCACCATGCAGTCTCCACAGAAAGACCAACCATCTCCTTCCGAGCCAATTTGGGAGACTCACCAAGAACGCCCCTGTCCTTCAACGATAGATATAGATGCCCTTAAGTGCGAGTGCGAATTCTACCTCAACAGCTTCCCAGGTAGAGATAGCCTAGCCCCAAACACAGCGTTCAACGGTCGTATAAGAAAATGTCTCAACGGAGCCTACGACGACCACGCCCATGCCCCAGAGATCCTAGCGGGGATCACCAAAATGGTTTCATACCGCAACAACTTGACTCGGTTAGCAACACAACTATTAACCCACGCGGGCATATTCAAGCCCAACGGACTAGACTGCGCACAATTCGACTTTGAGACTTTCCAAGAATCGCAGGCATACAAGAATAAGAGGGGCAAATACGAACATGCCTTCAGACAGGTCGCTCGATTCGACTTGATCTTTTTTCCTGCTCCGGATGACGAGGAGGGGAGGCCGTGGGCTAAGCCTGTCAAGTATGTTGCTGCGGCTTTGACGCTGGATGATAATATCGACTCGAGCGAGGAGATTGCGGATGCGGTGCAACGGATTACATCGAGTATGTACATGAGCCTCTTCATTCTGCAATGGCGCTAACGACAATATGTACATAGGCTACCTGAAGTCTCTTCTTCATAAAGATGAAAAGGAAGCCAACAACTCTACGGCCCAAAACGAGGTGCCCAAAAGCCTCCCAGCACCAAAGTACGCGCACTCTCAACCCGAGTAAACCGCCGGTCCCGGACTAACATACTTGAAGCTAGAATCATAAATCGCCTTCGTAAAGACCGGATCACTAGTCTTGTAACCCCCCGGAAAGCTAACACCACTCGGCGTCGCACTGCCACCCCCAGTAACCTTAACCTGGAAGCAACTAACATACGGCTGCGGGTTATTCGCACCAGCATGCAGCGCAATCGCCTCGGCGCGGACCAGATAATCCCCGCTCGCAATGTTCTTGGGCACAGTAAAGGCGCGCTTTCCGCAGTTCGCATTAAGGATCTCGGTGCCCCAGGAGGCTGTTGTGCCCGTGTACCCGTCTTCGGCGACTTTGAAGAAGGAACCCGAGGTGGCGGTTTTGGCGTCGGCGACTTTGGCCATGTAGACGAAGACGGGGCCGTAGTGGTTGCCGCCGATGGCGGGTTGGGAGCAGGAGCGTGCGTTGGGTTGGGCGTGCATTTCGACGGTTAGGGAACTGCCGGCTGTGGGGGTTTTGTTAGTATTTCATACAGTTCCACATAATATCCCTATCACATATTGCCTTGCTGGGCAAAGGATTGTGAAATGAACTTGGGGAGCTTACCAGCGACTTCGCAAACCCCAGATGTGGAAGCTGGGCCACGTCCGCAGAACATGTCGGGAGAGGTCAGACTGGTGATGGGGCTGTTGTCCTTGACAGTTCGCACACAGGTGCCCGCTTTGTCTTCACTGCCGACCCAAAGTTCTTGCCAGGTCGAGTGAGCGGAGACGGTGGCCGCCGCAGCGAGGAAAACGGTGGCGTACTTCATCTTCGGATAGTTAACGGGATGAGATGGCAGAAAGCGCAAAGAGGGTAGGATGATTCGTACTGAGTCTTTTTTTCGACCACTGGCACCACTCTCAGTATTTATTCACCACTTTCGATTCTTTTGGTCATGCATACACCGTAGTACACTTCACCACAGCAATCTAACAGCGACGTTTAACATCCACCCGGGCCGCTGTACCAGTCTTTCCCTCGTCATCTCCGCACCTAGTCGTGGCTTCCGACCACCTATCTTCTTCCATGTTCGCCCCGACCACTTAGATAGATTAACATCGCCAGCATCAAGCTTTCCTTGGCACCTGTCGGGTAGCGCGTGCCCCGTCAGGCCGTCAGCACTCAATTTGCACGACACGCGCTCATTCGCCGGGATAGGGGAAAACGGAGGCGCAAGTGTAGATGGAGGAGATTTTGAACTTGCATGCGGGCCATGTCGCCCCCAGGTTTCAGCGTTTTACCTGATTGGGCACGGCATTGGTGGTTTGGTACCGATGTCACATGGCGCAATGGGGGCGGGTTTTGGGTGCAGGTTTGCAACGGTGAGGCTTGGCTATATGGAGGTTGTATATTATGTGCGTCATGGTGGTCACTGGGGCGGCTGCGTTTGGGCGGCGCGAGGCCCTCGTGTAAGCGTTGGTATCTAACCTGTTCCAAGGTGTGGTGGCTTTGGGCTCTGGCGTAAAGCTCTCGATTTTTTGTGCCTGAGCTATCAGGTGCGTCTCGAAAGGTCGTTGTGATGATCCTCTCATGTTCCTGATCGAGAATGCCGATCTTTCGGCAATTTGGGCCTGGAGCCGCTCGCCAGGCTAGTCGGTATTTAATTCGAAACGGTGTAAAAACGCTAGAACATCCATCATTGGTTTGAGCGTGTCAATACCCACAGCTGTTTTTTTTCTTTTCGCCTTGAGTTTGTCTAGAGAAATGAGTAACGAAGGCCACTGGCGGAGAAAGAGTGTGGACGGGCATGGGCCTGAACGCCATCGACTCCTCCCTGCAAGTTCCTCTCGATTCCGATCTTCGATAGATGGAGTATTGTTTAATCTTGGTCTGAGCGTATGATAGTGTAGTGCATGCGAGGCGGTCCCAACCCGGATTCCTTCACGCCTCTTCCGTAGTGGCATAATCGAGATTGCTTCAGATTGGCAACGTAGGAAGTGTTTGGCATCGCACCCCTATCGGAATTGACGCCAGTGGTATCCTCATCACGCACAGCGCAGAGTTTACCAGGCTTGCCTCGGCGCCTTTCCCGTGTGTAGTCGTAGATGCCGATCCGTTGGTTGTTCTCGAAGGAAGGAAGACGTCTGGTGTGCTATCGCCGCTCAGAGTCTAAGCACCTTCCACCTTGACGCTCTTATCCTTCTTCCCGAAGTAGTTCGCCAAAGTATTCTTCTGCGTCGGCTTCTCCTCCTTCTTTCCATCCGCCTTCTTCTTCGCTTCCCCTACACCCATCAACTTCTTAAACTCTTGCCATTCGGTCTTCCCCACAATCCCCCCACTGGCCTCTTTGTGACCCCTCGCAAAGCTCTCTCCAAGGCGGTTCCTCAGCTCCTCGTCGCCTGCGACTATGCCCTCAAGCTTCTTGATGATGTCGACCTTCTCCTCTCCTTCGCGCGCTCTCGCACATTTCGCAACGCGGCATGAGAAGTTGACTTTGTCGGGGAGATAGCCTTCGTTTGCGCACATGACGATCTCTAATTTGTTGGACTTGAGGGTGCCAGACCAGCGTGTCGCGATGACGGGATGTATTTGCGCGGCGCTTGATATAGTCAGAACGGCAATCGTCGCGTCAGCAGAGAACTTCGGGGCTGTGTGGGTGCAGCGTTCGGTCTCCCGTCTGACCTCCATGCTTGCATCTTTCAGCTTGTCGACTTTCGAGATGTCTCCGGGACTGCTCGCGGAAACGACGGCGTCCCAGGCGTCGTGCACGTTGTATGCTGCTGATCTACGTGGTGCATTGGCTAAAGCTACGGCATCGTTGATGGACTTCTTCGGGTGTTGCTTGAATGTTGCCACCATGTCTGGAAAGGGGGGTTCCCACTTTATGCTGCTTCCGAGATCACCGTGGGTTCCTAGTGCTGCTAACCATGATATCTTGTCGTGAAGGTCTGGATGGAGTGGGAGGCAGATTGTGTATGTCAGTAGTGCGCTGGTTGCCACAGGTGGGCAGTCGTGTGCAGTCACATAATCACTTCCTTCTGGGAATCCGCCCTCATCTGCAAAGTGATGGTCTACCACGAGGCATGTATGTGGTGAGTCGATGACAGGCGGTGTTTTCCGACTGCCTTGGTCTAGAATGAAGATATAGGACGGCTTCATGGCTGTGAGAGCTTGCCTTGTGCTTTCATCATGTACATTAGAGCCTTTTGGTGGGAAGTAAACGGATATTAGATTAGGTGAGAGACCTAGAGCGGTGAGAGTATGATGAAGTATGGCACCAGAGGAAAGTCCGTCTGCATCCTTGTCGGGTAAGATGACTGTTGGCTTTTGCGCTTCAGCACTGTGGCAGATTAGCACCTAAAATCTCATCCGTCGACTGCGTCTTGATTTACCATTCTCTGATGATCTCTCGCGCGCGTTCAATTTGCTCCTTCCTGGCCGGCCAGACATTCTCTCCTGACTCGTCCTGTCTTGATGGTGTAAGATGATACGCGGGAATCTCAGTCTTGGCCTTCGTCGCTGTCTTAGTCTTCTTTGGTTTTGGTGGCGATATATCCTTCTCAGCTTTCCGTTTCGCTGGACTTGACATGATAGTAGATGCGTGGAATTGCCGGGGTTGGATGAGATTGGCGAGTAGTGGCGATAATCGTGGCGAATACAGACTTAGTGAAGAGATGTTCGATAATTGCGCCAATCGACAGACGGGAAATCTCATTGTACAGGTTCGACAAGATGGTTTGCAGAGCGAAACGACTGGATGCAAGGGTGAAAGGTAGGAGTATCGATGACGTCGTTGACACGCTAGTCTCTTTTTCGCCCAACCTCCCCATCATACCCCAGCACCGCATCAAGCAAAACCTGCGCTCCCAACGCGCAATGCTCAGGACTCGTGTACTCCTCCGGATTGTGACTTATCCCACCTCTGCTCGGCACGAAGATCATACTCGTCGGACACACTCTGCTCGTCCACGCACTATCATGTCCTGCTCTACTCTTCATCTGCATAACCTGACGTTCACCCACTAATTCAACCGCTGCCTTCCTCACAGCCTCGATACAATCCGGATGGAACTTCGATTCGGGTAATCCCCACGTACGCTCCACGGAATACTTGGTCCCGTTGTCTTCTTCCTTGATGACTTGATCGAATGCGCGTAAGATGGACTCGGAAAGCTGATCGACGAGATCATCAGTGTCGCATCTAACATCCACCACGAATCCTACGCCAGCGGGTATAGTAGCTTGCGAACTTGTATCACTGCTGATGACACCCACGGTAGCTACACCCAGGCCAGTCTGCACGGCGGTGTCTCTTACGGCGGTGATGAGCCGTGCAGCTGTGACTAGAGCGTCTGCTCTTCCTTCCATGGGCGTTGTGCCTGAATGGCCTTCTCGTCCTGTAACGCGAATGGCGAACCATTTCATCCCTTGTACGCTAGTCACAACACCGACTTCCTTTCCCTCACGCTCAAGGATTGGGCCTTGCTCGATGTGCAGTTCGAAATGGGCGGACAGTTTGTTCTCGCGGTAATCGCACGGCGTTGGACCAAGGTATCCGGTTTCCTGTAAAGCAGTTGCCATGGATATTCTGTCTGTATCGCGAAGAGCGTGGCATGCAGATAGATCCGTGCTACTATGCGTGCTCCACACACCGGACGCCATCATTGCACCAGGGAAACGCGCGCCTTCTTCGTTCGTCCAGTTTATCAGGGCGATGGGATGGTGGGTTTGGATGTTGTTTTCGTGCAGGGTACGGAGGACTTCTAGGGCTGATTGAACGCCTAGAATGCCGTCGTATCTATGTTCCAATCAGACTTTGATCAGTTTGTTAGTCGCTGTGGTGTCGGTGCGCGTACCTCCCGCCTGCTGGCTGTGTATCCATGTGACTACCCATGCCAATTGGCGCTTTATCGATAGCGGTACCGGGGCGTATGGCGAAGACGTTTCCCATTTGATCAATTTTGATGTCGCATCCTAGACTCTTGCATTCGCTGACTAGCCAGTCTCGAGCCGCTTTGTCGTAGGGAGTTAAGGTGAGGCGGCACATGCCTGTTGATGGCGCTGGGAGAGCGCCGTAGGAGGTGCATGTTTCCTGTAGTGTGCTGTTTAGCCTCCCGCCGTTGATTTTGAGAGTCTTGGAAGACATAGTGGTACAGGCGTATGTTGGTAGGTCGAAGACTGATCCCGAGGGCTACGCATGATAGACGATAGCGCCAAAGTCGCAGTAGTTACATCCGACGCGTCCGCGTGCGAAGAACGCGTCTTCATCATCTATGACCAATGTCTATGACTGTGCAGAATATCTATATCCTTCTCGAGCGCGTTTATACCGCGAATAGGCGTCGTGGTTGATAAGAACGAAGACGGGAGGAAGGTGGGGCTGCGCGAAAGAGGGGTCGAGATACGCACCTCACAAACCTGGACTAGCTTTCTTTCCACTACCATGATAACCGCTGAGATGTATCCTCCCGTGATCGTGTATGACTGGGAAGTATATTCCGTGTTATTGTTCTGCTCGGAAAAAGGTTGAAAAGAAAAGTTGCAATGGAGTACGATCTAATCATCATCAATGGGGTGGTAGTGTCTGAGACTGAAGTTCAAGAGCGGGATATTGCTATCAAAGACGAAAAGATCGCAAAGGTAGTTCCAAGAGGAGGTCTGAAAGATGCACAAGCAACGAGAACAATAGACGCCGAAGGTGGCTATGTAATGCCAGGAGGTGTGGACGCTCATGTTCATCTGCAAGAACCTCCATTGTTTGGAAACGGCTCAACGGCAGACAACTACGAGACTGGCAGTCGATCGGCGGTATGCGGTGGTACCACTACCATGGTGACCTTTGCGCCTCAAAAGAAGACCGAGGATACTCTTCTCGACATTCTGGCGGCCACTCATGAACGAGCGAAGGACAACTGCTACATCGACTACTCATTCCATATAATCGTCGGCAACCCGTCAGAAAAGGCGCTCTCAGAGTTCAAGACCCTGCGAGAGGAAGGCATATCCTCACTCAAGATCTACATGACCTACGAGGCCCTTCAACTGCACGATGGCCAGATCCTAGACATCCTCCTCGAGGCCCGGAAACAGGGCATAACGACCATGATCCACGCGGAGAACGGACAGGTAATCGACTGGATGACCGCGCAACTCGAAAAGAAGAAGCTGTTCGCGCCAAAATACCACGGCTCATCCCATCCGCCCATGGCAGAGACAGAAGCCACCTACCGTGCCATTAGCTTATCAGAGTTCATGGACACACCCATCCTCATCGTTCACGTATCCACACCCGCAGCAGCCGCACACATAAAAGCAGCGCAAGACCGCGGTCTACCCATCTACGCGGAGACCTGCCCGCAATACCTCTTCCTCACGAAGCTAGATCTTGATCAGCCTGGTTTCGAAGGCGCGAAATGTGTATGCTCGCCCCCACCCCGCGAAAGCGAAGCAGACTGCGATGTAATCTGGGAGGGCCTGGCGAACGGCACTTTTACCATCCTCTCTTCAGACCACTGTCCCTTCCGCTATGACGACCCTGAGATGGGCAAGAAGTCTAGCATCAGCGCAGAGTACCCACTCGGCCACTTCAAATACATCCCGAACGGCTGTCCAGGAATCGAGACACGCCTCTCCCTCACGCTCAGCGCAAACCGGCTCAAGCTCACCAAATTCGTCGAAGTCACATCTGCGAACCCTGCGAAACTATACGGTCTCTACCCAAAGAAAGGCGCGCTGATAGAGGGCGAGTCGGATGCTGATATCAATATTTGGTATCCGGATGGCAAGATGGAGGAGTTTGAACTGACGAACAGTATGTTGCATCACGATGTTGATTATACGCCTTTTGAGGGGAGGAAGTTGAAGCAGTGGCCGAGGTGGACGTTGCTGAGGGGGAAGGTGGTCTGGGATAGGGACAATGGCGGGTTGTTGGGGGAGAAGGGGTATGGCAGGTTTACGAAGAGGGATACGAGTAGTCTCGCGAAGCCGATGAGGGAGGGGGAGTGGGTGTTGCCGCTGTAGGTGTGATGCGCGTGCGTTGTCATCGGACTCGTAGATTGATCATCGACGCGTTAAATGTTCTTCATTCTATCGTGAGGTGAGATGACTTGGTATCTCCATAATGTATTCCGTGTTGTTGCCTTGGACGAACGGCTGGGCTTACAGCTTGAGGTTTGCCACGGTTGCATCCTTATCTTATCAGCCCCCCTGTTCACCTCGCGCCACCTCGCGTCCCACCCCATTCTTGCTTCCACCTTCCTTTGCGACAGCGCGTGTATTGCGCACATCTCCATCATGTCACATTGAGCATGCATGACTAATGCCATGCTATCGTCTTATCAACGCGGCAGCTTCTGTTTGCCGTTCCTGATGCAGCTATCAGGCCCATTAGGCTTAGAGCTGGCCAACATGGGTGTACATGGGCTTGAGGAAGCTTCTCATGCGCCCAAGCTGAACATGTCCATTTCCTAGGGAAGATGACGACCTCAGATTTACCGGTAGAGAATGTAGATGTACTTGTGGTAGGTGGAGGGCCAGTAGGTACACAACCCCAGCATCTATCTTTTAGACCATCATACTGACAAGTCATTCTAGGCCTCGTAACCGCCTACCAACTCGCGCGCAACCTCCCTCGCTCTACGCATCGCATCAAGACCATAGAACAACATCCTAAGTCGTCCCAAGACAACTATGGACGCGCCATTACCCTCTTCCCAAGAACGACTGAGATGCTCGATCAGCTTTCTCTGGCTGATTCCCTTGCTCAGCAGTGTTTTGCTTGTCGCGAAACCGTGAACTACGATAAGCATGGCAACGAGGTCGAAGGAAGAGGTTGGGCGTTCATGGAGAACATGAAGGATACCAAGTGGGACTTCGCGTTGGTGCTACGTCAGAAGTACCAGGAAGAAGTGTTTAGGAAAGCATTGGCGAAGGAGGGGGTACAACTTGATGCGCCGTATACCCTGGTGGGCATCGAGATTATAGACGGGGTGGAGATGGGTGGATATCGCACACTGGCTACTATCGAACATGGCGAGAGCAAGGTGAAGAGCGTAGTCAGATGTCGATATCTGGTCGGCGCGGACGGTGGGCGGTCTTTCGTACGACGAGCGATGAAGATTCCCTTCGATGGCTCCTCTAGCGAAGACAAGTGGGTACGCGTCGACGGTGTCATCGAAACTGACCTCCCCAAACCGCGAACGTACTGCGCCATCGAATCGCCGACACACGGAAACGTCCTCTGGGCCGCATTGGACCGAGGGGCAACACGGATAGGATTCGCGTTCACAGCGGAGCGTCAGAAAGCATACAAGGTGTTCAACGAAGAAGCCGCCGTCAAGGAAGCCATCGCATCCGTCAAGCCGTTCAACCTCAAGTTCAAGCAGGTGGATTGGTGGACCATCTACGTTGTCGGGCAGCGAATCGCGCGCTCATTCTTCGTGAATGACTGCATCTTCCTCGCCGGCGACGCATGCCACACGCATAGTTCAGGTGCAGCACAAGGCATGAATACCGGCATGCATGATGCCGTCAACCTCGGTTGGAAGCTTTCGCTCGTGCTCCAAGGTCTCGCCAAACCCGATCTGCTAC